TTCTTCTATCTTCCTTTGAAACTTTTTAGTTGATTGCATTTTGGGTACTCCTTAAACATACTATTCACACAAATTTTTTTTATTAAATATTAATAGTTGCGACCATTTATAGTTGAATGAATTTTTGGGCACTTCTATTTTTAATTGGAGCGACAAAGGGACAAATCCTAAACACATAACTACAATATGACCTGGTTGTGATTAAATACTTAATTAGGCTTATATTAAAAGTATACACGACCCAAAATATGTTGGTGAATGGTGATGACTGTATTTTAAATGTAAGTATCACATAACTTTATGCAATCATATACACATAAAAATGAAAAGTACGAGAAAAAATTGAAGTACAATTTTGATGCATAATGTTGAATAACAATAGTATTTGATTTTTTTTTTTCTAGTATACTTCAATAGAAAGAATAATTGCCCAATTTCCATCTCATATATATGACAATCAATTTAAAAGATACCTAATAATTTATTTTTTTCTTAGATGTACTAATTAATTCGTTTTCAAAGTAGATGTAACTACTTCTTCTCCCTGAAATTATGTACGCGAAATATATGTATATAGCTAGATTTATTTCCCAATTAATGCGTAACATGATGAGTAAATTCTTAAGAACTTCCAATGTATAGTTCTTTTTTCTTGTCCCCAAAGTATAGTTACTTAGCATTTACTTGATCTTGTCATATTGTTCCAGAAAAAGAAAACCATTACAAAGAATTGTGGTGTATAGTTCAAACTATATTCGTGTTTATACTGTAGTCTTCAAGTTTTTTACCGTTAGATCAATACAAACTCGTATAAGTGTTGATAGGGATCTATCAAATAGTTAACTTCGATCGGTTGAATAACCGTTTCTCTTTCGCATGTAATGTGCATATGATAATGAACATAACGTAACGCAACAAAAACCATACCTCTACCTTTATAGGAGTAATTACATTGTTTTACAAGAAATTTACTCCATTAAGAAAACCTAATATACACATAACTTTTTTCAACTCTTTCAGTATTCGATCATGTGCACAAACACATATTTAAATAAAATTTTATATGTTATATGTATGGTTATATAATATTTAAAATCATAAGTTAAATAATGAGTAAAACAACATTAAAATTATTATTTTACAAAATTTTAAAGTGTTTGCTTATACCATAAAAAATAATTAACTAATCTTTAATAAAAAAAAAACTTGCTTAATGAGTTAAAAAAATAATAATAATTATAAATAAATAGTTTGAGAAAAGCTATAGAATATAATAACATTCAATGTGCCTTTATTATATTAGTTAATAGTAGCAATTATATAATAAAATAAATAAAAAAATATAATTGCTTGATTAATGAAAAAGTAAAGGAAAAAGGCGGGGAAACTAAAAAAGTTTTATTATTATTATTTTTTTTGTTAGCAATTATATACATGTATATATATATAGATGATGATTGGACAATTTAATCCCATCAACTTTACACGTCAGAATGATGTAAAAGTAAGAGAAGAATGATTGAAAGTGGTGGTTAGTTAAAATTATGTGAGAAGATGAATATTGAATTAAATTTGATGTGGTGTATAAGAATGATTGGTTGATATTATTTAATTATATTGATAATATTGGAGATAGTGGAGTTGGGTTAAATTTGAGTTTTGATTGATTTTTTTTAGGTGAATTGATAAACAATCACCCCCTTACTAACTTGGATAAAATGACATGATAAAAAGCAAAATATGAGGTGACAACATAAATATATTTATATGACCTAAATCTGTAATTTGGTGGACTTTTATAGATAAAAGAGACATTCTACATAACAGTTTTTGGACAAAATGATCATTTCTAAAATGGAATTAAATGTCTCACATTCAAGACCGGGCAAAATAATCCTACCAATCATACATAAAAATATGGGACCCACAAGACAAATCAACTTATTATTCAATTTCATCAAGGTTAGTTGGATAACAGGAGTTATCCAACCCTATCCTATCCTATTAGCTTAAGTAAACGAGACCATTAACTACTCACACTAAGAGCACCCACAATGCTTTGGGTCTCTTTTTGTATATGTGGCATATAATTGGACTTGAGTCTTAAATGATGTGGACAAACCCAAGTAAAAAACTTCAATAACTTTGCAATGCAAAAATAAAAATACTAGGTCTAACATATATGTCAACCAATAAAAATGATCTAATATGTTTTTTTTTATTAAAAGAAAAATTAAAGTAGGAATAAATGATTAGTGTTGGGTTTGTACTTGAGTTCAAAATAGACCCAAGTGTGGACTTAGTCTCTTTTTTTTATTGCCACATAAGCTAGACCATGTCCACTTTTAATTGCATTGGGAAGCATTTTTTTTATAAACTAAGTCTATTTCTTACATGGCATGTGATTTTTTATCAAGAGACCCAAAGCATTGTGGATGCTCTAACCACCAAAGTTACTATCCTTCCTCAATTTGTTTGAAAACGGAAAGTCAAGATGGGACAAGAGAGATAGAGATGTCACCTGATTGCATGCGAACGAGAACTAGGGTTTTTGATTGCCAGTGAACGAGTCACTCTATTATACGTAAAATTACATAAAATGCATGTCATTACATATTTTCTAATTAAAAATTTTAAGCCTAACTCAAGTAAAATTCGAGCATATCCCATTCGAGCCAATCTAAAGCGTTTTTGCTGTCGTGTGAGCCGAACCGACAAACTCGTCAACTTCGAGCTCGAGCTTGAACAAGTGTAGAAAAGATGAAACATATCTCAATAAGTCAAATGTTCGGCTTGACTCGATTCGACTCCATTGATTTGTTTGAACCCTAATCATATATATTATTTCTATTTATATGATCGTGTCCTTTGTTTTCCGTAGTCCCGATTTGACACCTTTGATTTCCTTAAAATCCATCCAAAGCAAAACCAGAGAAAACGAAACAGAAAAAGGCAAAAGCTTGTGAGAAAAAAGCAGGGGAAGAAAGGGGTTATTGGGCTACTTTACTTCTCTTTGCTTGGTTCCTCTGCTAAGCATCTTTTTCTTTCTTACTTTGGCGCTCTTTTCTTTTCTTTTCTTCTCTTTTTTTCTTTCTCAGTCACTGTTCTATCATCTTCTTGTTTCTGTTATATTCTTTTTTTCCCCCCATGTTTTTCGCCATCTGAAGCTGTTATTCCACCCAGCTAAGATGTTATATTAACTCATATATCTGCAAATCATTCTCTCTCCCATTGGTCCTATCGCAGAAAGTACAATCCCTTTATTGTCTTTTCTTATTCCAAGTTTTTTACAGTTCAGACTTATATAGCAATATTCTCTTGTTTCCCTTTCTGGGCTTTGCTGCTTAAGCCTAAAAATTCGATCTTTCTTATTATTAGTTTCTGGGTTACACTTGTGCTTGAAGCCTCCAGCTTTCCCCTTCAAATGGTTCGAAAATTCCTGTGTTTTTTTGTCTCCAGTTTGATTACCGCTTGTTAATTTTCAACCCTTATTTTAATCTTTCG